GGAGTGAGACTATTCGACTCTGCCACTAAAAAATAGGGGTGTTTTCAGCAAAAAACGAATAACCCTGGAATACACACAATATACTGAATTTCGGAACAAATCGTGCATTACTTACAGCAGCAGAATACCACAGAAATATCAGACGAAACATGAAAACACTATATATTGTATTTCAGCCTGAACCCTCTATATTGCAATTCAAGGAATTAACCCCATATGTGCATCCATTTCCCACCTTGGTATCACCCACCCCTGAAAACAAACTATTAATACCACGCTGAAGCGTTTGGTAATAACCTCGCTCTCAGGAGCTGAGGAATAACCCTTGTGGTCATATGTCATACAATCTGTTCATTTGTGTTCCAGCAGTCCATTCCACTCAATACCATCCATAATATAAATTAATTGTAAGTTAACTCTTTTACAGTGTTTCCCCGTTCATATCAACATAAGAAGTCTTTAGACTTTCATCTATTATGGACTTCTTCATATTTTTAGTCCCCGTTCGGACGTAGTCCGAAAATGGGGACTTATGTTTTGCCCTGTGTGCGTCCGTGCGTCCGTGCATCTGTGCGTCCGTGATCACCTGTATCTCGAACATGCATGGACCGATTAAGTTCAAACTTCACTCATACATCACACATTATATGGGACATATGCACATGCATTTTTTTCATGATCCGATTAACGATAGTCGAATAGCGGCCATTTTAAGGCCGAAAATGCATCAAAATCGCCCATTTTCACCATTCCGGACCCGGATCTCAGTTATGCATGGACGGATTTTGTTCAAATTTGGTACATACATTAAACATAATAGAACCTTGATGCACGTCATTTTGGGGGGGGGGGTCGGGCTTGAAATGGCCGACTGGCGGCCATTTTGTTTTAAAGAATTCAGTTCTGGATCCGTATCTGAGACATGTCTGGATTGATCGAGTTCAAACTTCACACACATAAGGTACATCATGTCACAAATATGTATGTGCATTTGTTTCATGATCTCATTAACGATAGCCAAATGGCGACCGCTTTAAGGCCGAAAATGCATTGAAATCGCACATTTTCACCATTCCGGACCCGGATCTCAGTTATGCATGGGCGGATTTTGTTCAAATTTGGTACATACATTAAACATAATAGGACCTTGA